TCACTCTCAAAGATTTCAGCCTATGGTTGTTCGGCTCCATTGTTTCTGGAATTGCTGGGAGGTAAAATATCATGGCAAAGAGTACATGGTAGAGCCAAACTGCTCACCACAGGGCAGACAAAGCAGATCAAGAGGCTGGAAACAAGGTAACATGTTTCCAAGGCATACCCCCACGACAGCCCACTCTCAATAATGCCATGTTTGTATCCATCAAGAATTTAAATCCATCAAGCAAATAATCCATTAATTAGGTCAAATTTCGCATAAGCTAATCATTTCTCAACAGCACCACCAGCTAAGGACCAAGGCTTGACAAATAAGCCTTTTGGGGCAACACTTCATATGCAAATCATATTACCGTAATCTCACATGAAAATGGTCCAGTGAGTGTTTCTCCCCTCCCCTCCCCTCCCCTACCCTCCGCTCCACTCTCTCTCCCCCTCCCTCCCTTCTGCACTCCCTCTACCCCACCCTGGCATTTTTATAAAGGCACCAAGAGGACTTTCCTCCTATGACGTAATCAAAGCTCTCATTCCACATCTTGAGGGTGAGGATCTCAACAGAGGAATTTTGGAGGGACAGAAACCACTACACCACAATACATAATGGACTATAATAAGGTTTGAATATTACAAACTTATTTAGATGTTTGGTTAAGCATTACTAATCTCCACAGAATGCTTATTAACATTGGTGACATAGTCACAAGAGCAAGCTGTACTACCCTGATGGATGGAATCACCTAAATATCACAAAATGTCCATGTTAAAATGTGTTCTGAACAGGTTATGTTTATGAATATATATACTCATAAATGCATGCAATAACAATTAGTGATCATAGAGGCCATTAATTTGAATAAGAAATAGAAAGGGTATATGGAAGAGTCCAGAGGGGGACAAAAGGAAGGGAGAAATGTAATTTCTTTTTAAAAACTTTTTAAAATGTTAAAAACTGTGTTCAGGAAGGGTTTCACTATAGATGCTTTTTCAAATAGTTCTATTACAGCCATTCTGTTTTAAACCTGATCCAATCAGGCACACCCAAACTAGAAAGAAACTGACATCAATTTGGCATCTGTATTACAGGGCCAAAAGGGGAGGGGTCCATTCTCAAGCCAGCATCTAACTGATAATCAGTTGTATTCTATACACCTAATCTGCTGTATTTGTACAATTCAGAATGCATTATCTCAACTCTCCACCAAATGCTAAAATCATCTCTACCCACAATCATACCTGAAATTTAGTATGTCCAAAATAAACTTTTCTCTCTTTTAAATGCCTTCTTTATTATGATTTCCCTACTTTAAGGGTAATAGTCATTACAATTTCAAACTAAAGTTACAAAAAAAAGATGTGATAAGACAGAGTAGACCAGCATGGTGAAAAACATGTACTGGCCTGTCTGCTATCTCCTATGTTCTGTGGCTATGGTTGATTAAAAAAATGTGTGGATTTACACTGCTTCATTATTGTCTGATATCGTAGAAGGAATCCCTTACTGAGCAGGTTCAAAATTGGTATATGACAAGACCTGATGATCTGGGCTGGTTCTGATCTGAAAGCATTCTCTCTGAAAACTAGCTTTCATAGTACCAGAAAGCACCATGCAAGCTTCCAAAGGTGGGGAGTAGCCAGCACTCTTACCCAGCTCTGATCCCTATAAACTAGAACAGTAGCCAGCATAGCATGACGCAATATCCCTAAAGGGACAAGTAACAGAGTAGCTCTCTAATTGGACTTAAGACCAGCTCTACTAGAGAAATGGTACTTGAAACCTAGGCAACTGCCAGGGCTAATGAGGTCATGGATCTTGGGAGATCCTACACTCACTTTTCTGAACCAATGTAATTCCTAACTACATTCTACTTATCCTTATACCCACAGATACTTATAGATCCCACCCCTCATCAATGTCTCCTTGCAACAGATAAGAGACTGTAACTTAAAACTACATCTGATCAAAATGCAGAGCCGTGATCATGTGATATCCAGACCCAACTGATACATCTATAATACAACTCCTGCACCTAAATGTTAAGGAATCACAGCTGAACGAAAACGGAGTAGAGACTATAAAATACAGAGGAACAGAAAGGCTGCTGTAAGATTTTGTTTCCTAGAATGTCAAGGTTCATAAACATGGCCACCTGACCAAAACTTAAACAAGCACTCCAACAGACATGCTAACAGGGAAGGGGGAATCTCATGGGGCCTCAACCCCACACAAACTACAGGGAATTAAGGATTGCTGAGAGTGAAATACTCTTCCCCAGAGAGGATCCTCCAAATTGGTTATCCAATACCAAGTGGTCATCCCTGATATCATATACATTCAAGTAACATTATACGGACCAAGCATATATACATACATACATACATACACACACACACACACACACACACACACACACACACACACGAGGCTGTGAAACGGGTGCATGGAAACAGTAGGAGGGAGGAGAGGGAAAATTATGTAATTTTAAAAAGTTAAACAAAAATAAGTCTGGTTTACTGATGCATAATTCTATCAAAAGTCTGAAAATACTTAAGGTTTTTACAATCTTATAAATTTCTCTTGGAGTTAGCTGTTGCTACTAGTAATTCTTGCTGGTATCTGAACCTCCTTGAATGTGCTCTGAAAGTCCATCAAGCTGCTGATGAGAAAAGTCACGTTTGTATTAATTCCTTGGTGAATAGAAGCCAGGGTTTTGGGGGAGTTGACTAGGTTCAGCCAGCAGGCACCCACATATGTGCTTGGCATGCCAAAGCTCTTCCACACACTTGCTGTCATTTCTCATCTTCACTACAATATCATACATACTGCATTACTGTTACTGAGTAAAGAGCAAGGGAGTACCACAACAACATCCTTAATGTTAATCTCTACTTTTATTACATTGTGATCTGATAGGACACAGGAAATCTCCAGTTTTGTTTGTTTGCTGAAGCTTGTGTCCTATGGCATAATCAATTTTGGAGAAAGTTCCATTGCTGCTGACAAAGGTGAACATTCCTGATCTACTGAGTGGAATATTCTGTATGTTACTTCCAGTTGATCTGACCAGTGCTTCTCAACCTGGCAGTCAATCCCTTTCACAGGGGTTGCATACCAGATATTTACAATTCATAACAGTAGCAAAATTAGATACGAAGTATCAACGAAATAATTTTATTAATGGGGTCACCACAATATAAGGAATATAAAGGGTTGCAGCAATGGGAAGGCCGAGAACCACTGATCTGTACCATTTTAGCTTTAGTTTGGAAGACCTCACTATTATGTCAAATCCATGTGGCCTTATGACTTTATTGTTTATGAAACTGGGGACTCCAACATTAGGTACACATTTGCAATTGTTTTATCTAATTAATGTATTTCTATTAATATGTAGTATCCTTTATTATTTTTTTAAATTAGTCTTTAGGTTTGAACTTTATCTGATATACAGATAGCTACACTAGCTTACTTGTTACCCAGCCTGAAATCCTGAATTCAACTCCTGGTAATTCTAGTACTTACACAGTGAAAAGACAAACTCCAAGTTGTCCTCCAACCTCCACACATATGATACGGCATGTACACTCACATAAACAGATATAATTTAAAAATCTTACATAAACCAGTATACATTTAGAAAATGTTAAGAGACCTACTGAATAGTGACTGTTACCAATGTCCTTATTCTGCTTAATAATAATCTCAATCTCCTGGCGAGTTCTTTTAATTGCTCAACGCATTTCAAAAACACTAAGATTATCTCTGGATTGCTCAAATCATATTGGTGTTTGGGAGCACATGCAGGCCTTAAATTTGGGATACTACTGCCTCAGTTTCTGGAGGGTGGTGATTACAGGTATGTACTACTATGCCCAAGGAATAATAAATTCTTAAGAGGATCAAAATACACAGTATCCACAATGGGGGAAGAATGAAGATAATCAGTTCTTAGAGAAAGGGGATATAGATGTTAACAATATAAAAATAGTTCATCCTTTGTTAATACTTATTTAAAAATGAGATTTTTTGACTAAATTTTCATAAATGATATGATCCTTGGCCCAACATCCAACATATGGGTATTTTCTTATTACCAAATAACAGATTAACTTCCAGGAAATAAGATTCATGAATATAATTCATTTTCTTAAAATTTCTTAAAAGTGAGCCAGGCATTGGTGGCACACACCTTCAATCCGTAGGAGGCAGACTCAGGCTGATCTCTGTGAGTTCAAGGCCAGCCTGGTCTACAGAATGAGTTCCAGGACAGCCCCCAAAGCAATACAGAGAAACCCTGTCTCGAAAAAAACAAAAATTAAATTCTTAAAGTGAGGCTGGTGAGATGGCAAAGCAGATAAAAAGCAAGCTTGGGGACCTGAATTCAGATCCCCAGTACTCACATAAAAGTGCCTGTACCTTTAATGCCAGCACTTACTGGGGAGGGGAACAGGGACAAGAGGATTGAGCTAGTCTAGGAGATGCTGCCTCAAAAGAAAATAAGATGGAGAGCAATAAAGGACACCCAAACATCAACTTCTAGTCTCCCCAGGCAAATGCACCTGCACATTGATGTGCACACATTTCTCATAGGGTGAGAGGGCTAGGAATGTACTTCATGGTAGAATGAGTACCTGACATGCTTTGGGATCATTCCAAGCACTGCAAAGTGTGTGTGTTGAGGGGTGGGGCAATCCCAAAGATGGTTATATTTTTATGCAGTCTCTGCTTTTCCTCAACCAGGCCTAAATAAGAAAGACCCTATGACAGAACACTTGCTCTCAAAAAGAAAATACACGAAAATTATAGTTAATAAAAGCTTCAAGCTACTGAAATATGAGTTGGTAACAAAACAGAAGCTACCAAATGGTAATAAAGTAAGATCATCTTAGTGATTTCTGGTTAGACAAAACTTCATGAGATGTCATCCTTTGATCAGTATATGCTCCATTTTATACACTGTATACCCCAGAATTGCATAATAAAATGACAACAGTGAAGACCAGGTTGTAAATATTTGTATTTCTCTCACTCACACAATACTCACACAATATTGCATGAGACATTACTAGTTTTCATATGCATCCATAGGATTAATACTCATATGGAGTATAACATGAAAAAGTGCAGAACTAAAGAAATAACTCTAACAACAACAACAACAAAAAGCACACATTTCTTAGGATTTAAAAATATTGCACATATAAGGTTGCACAGAAATTACTGGCTGCTTTTACAAAAAGAATGAGGTATTAGTCAATTTCTAGATGACAAAGATAAGTGCAGGAGGAACTACACACACATACACCAAAAAAAAAAAAAAACACAAATAAAACTCAAATTGATATTAAGACCTAGAAAGTCAACAAACAGAAAAAAGTGAAAAAAAAAAGATATTCATGTAGCTATGATTTTGATCATACAAAACCATTAGCGCAGGGCCAAACACACAATCTCTTGGCAATATTTCACCATAAGCTTTAAACTTTTTCAGCTTAACTACGTGCAATACAATCATTCCTGTTACACCAATTCTACTGAAGAGGCATCTTTTTGTGGTATCAAACCAGCAGTTTCTAAAGCATTCAGTGGCAATTAGCCAAAAGCCTGTTGTCTCTTTCACTGACTGACTCAATTACAGTTTCACAGACATTTAGCAACCCAAGTCACAGGTGCTACAGGGCATGCGATTTTAAATTAGCAGAGGTGTCACTGCAAAAATTATTCAAGTTCACACAAATATATCTATAGTAACTTTTAAAGTTTAATATTTAAGTATGTATCAGGTAACTGGGTTTTGTTTGTGGATTTTTTTTGGGGTGTGGCCAAATTAGTGAATCAAAGGATAAAGAAAAAAAATCTTGCAAATGATGATCTTTCAAATGAACCTTTCCTAATCAGAAAAATTAATAATTAGAGTTGTCTACTAGCTGAATGTGATTGAACCTGTCAAAAATATTTAATATATGGAATACCTATAACCAACTGCTTAACATAAGTGAAATCATGCATTTGTTAAAGTACTTCACAGAAAACAGTTGTTTTCATCAGACACAGTGAGAAAGATTAGAACTACGTGGGTTTAGTAGAAACAGAAGAGAATCAACTATTGTCCTGAACAGTCAGTGTATGTAGTAACCATATTTCCTCTTCGCTGAGTGACAGTCCTGCAGTGCTTACTGGACCCATGAAATCTATTTTCAGTCTGTACTGTGTGTCGATTGGTGGTATCAAAGCCACTGAAAGAAAACATTTTCTCCATATCTTCAAACATATCATCAAACAATCCACCACCAAAAGAAAACTCCTGGAAATGATGCCTTTGTCTATTGGAACCATCCTGGTGTGTCTGGAAGTGATTTTCAAAATGCTTCTTAGACCGAGTGTTTTGGTTCTGGCCAAAAAGATTAAAGTCTTTAAATAAGTCATCAAAATTGAAGTTAAAAGACTGCTCAAAAGGACTTCCACTCCCTCTTTGTCCTTTGCCATTAGTGAAAGCAGTGTGTCCAACTGTATCATACTCCTTCCGCCGGTGAGCATCTGAGAGCGTTTCATATGCTAAAAGAGATAAAACCTTTTAGAAACTGAAAATAAAATATCAAAATTATATATATGTAAACTTCAAATACATGATTTAAAAATATATTTCAGGAAATAATTTTATATCACAAAATATTACAAATAATAATAAAGCTAAAATATCATTGTAATACAAGGCAAGGACTTTGTTTTATCAACTCTTCAGTAGTTAGAACAATAATGTCTTTCTAATAATTATTTCTTCAATTAATATATTTGTTAAATGCTGCCATTATCACAAATAAACATGTGGGAAAAACTAATTTGTTCATCTTCATATTATTTGTGCAAAACTATTATTTGTATTAAAGAATTAAATTAACAAATGTGTTCAACTAATACAAAACCACGTTTTTCACTTTACTAGATAAAGTAAATTTTTAATTCCAACTCCTAGTTAGGCCCATTAACTACTTAAGTAATATGCAGGGATGTACAATTAGTTTTAGAACTAGTAACATACTTCACAATTTTTTAAAGACACATTGTTTTGAAATGTAGATGCAATAGACACTTTTAACCTATTTTGTGTACAGTAAGTCAGTACTTAGTAAAAATACATTTAAATTACTTGATAAGAATTTTGGCTTTCTAATCCCTCATTTTATACACAGTACTTTCTAATACCTCATTTTATACATAGTAATCTCATAAATAAATAAGGGAAACGGGCATTTTAGAATTGTAAACAACAACAACAAAAATTACCTACTATAATCAATTACTTACCCAGAAGCCAGGTATCTATTCTAACAAGATAAATTGCAAAAATCTACATAAACTCTCCAATTTCCATAACATCTTTAAGAGCACACAAAATTTTCAGTTACTTACTATAAATACCCATGAGACTGCAGAATCATTTACTTACCTTCTGCAATCTCTCTGAATTTTGCTTCAGCATCAGGGCTCTTATTTTTGTCGGGGTGGTACTTCATCGCTAATTTGTGAAAGGCCTTCTTGATTTGTCGCTCTGAGGCAGATTTTGGCACACCTAAGATATCATAGTAGCTCTTTGAGGCTAGGATTAATTCTGTTATCATTAAAATGCAAATTGCAAAGACAAAAACTGATTGGGGAGTAGCCATTTCTAATCCTAAAAAAGAAAGGAAAACAGTTTTACTCAAGGATAAGACTTCTAGAAAACAATCACACCAACAAACCTTTGGTATAACAGACAGCAGCATTCGAAAAGCTATGCACATAGTATCACATACTCATGATATTGTACTGACAGTATTTCTAATATTAAGAATCTACTAGCAAGCCTTTTGTTCATCTGTTGAAAAGAAAGCTAAATTAATACTTTCTTAGGAAGGAAAGACCCTTTCTATTTATGTAAAGCAACTTTTGTTTGCTTGTGATGTTAAAGGTATTATTACCTCTCCAAAACATTTTTGAAGGCAGCATCATCCTAAGAAGTACTAGCTGGCTTAGATGTCCTGATATTCCCACCTCAGCTTTCTCAATGCTGTCATAACCACATCTAGCTTCAGTATATGACAAAAATATTGAAAATCCCTGTTTTCTCTGTGTTTGGCTAGAATCTTAGTATCAAGGCAAAGGTGGGGAAGGAAAGATGTTTCTCAAGTTGGTTAATTCTATATGCTCTTAAAAGGGTTAAAATAATCAGTTTTCATATATGTATGAAACACTTCAGAAATAACTTCTGCTTAAAGCCCCAAATCAGCCGGGAATTGGTTGTGCACGCCTTTAATACCAGCACTGGGGAGGCAGAAGCAGGCGGATCTCTGCGAGTTCGAGGCCAGCCTCGTCTCCAGAGCGAGTGCCAGGATGGGCTCCAAAGCTACACAGAGAAACCCTGTCTTGGAAAACAAAACAAAACAAAAAAACAAAAAAACAAAAAAAAAAAAAGAAAAAGAAAAAACAAGGCCCAGAGGAAGGAAATCGTTTGTACTGTGGATAAGGAGGTTTTCCAAGTTACTCAGGAAGTAAGCCGTTTCTCTTTAAAGCATTAAGTTTTACTTGGAATTACTGATAATACTCTCCTGGTTTGCTTTTTTGAATGCTGAACCACAGAAGTCCTTAATAACCTATGATGACATAGGCTGACGAAAAAGTACTGTGCTTTGTGGAAACTGCCAGTCGTCCTCTCCTGTGGCCTATTCTGAGCTTAATTAGCAGGTAGGTTACTTTTTTCCTGAGACTTAGTCATAGTCACGCGTAACCAACCAGAAAGTGCAACCTCTTGGTCTAAAGACACAAAGCAGGCACAGTGGCACATGCCTTTAATCCCCGCACTAGGGAGGCAGGGACAGGCGGATTACTTTGGAGTTCAAGGCCAGCATGGTCTGCACAGTGAGCTCCGGGTCTGCCCGGTCTTTAAAAAAAAAAAAAAATAGTAATAAAACTCAAGATAAGCCGAGCTTGCCCGGCGAGGGCCAGAAACCGCGAGTGTTCCCTAAGTGAAAAGGCGAGTCTACTACAGCCGACAGCGAGGCGCCTTCCACGGCTCCGGGCTGACCCTGGAGCTGTTTCACTGGCCCAGCGAGCTTCTCGGTCAGACCGACTCTGCTCAAACAATGGGGGCGCCCTCCTCGAGCCCGCAGCAGGGCCGGT